GGCTAACAACCGAAAAGCCTTTCAAGGTAATGGGTCGGGCCATGAGTAATTCTAATTAATTAGACTGCTTCCAGTGGTCCAATTAAGTTGTGGGTTTGGTCCGAACGATTGTGGTGTCAATATTTCACTTCACTCATCGGTCGAGGCCTATGAAGTATAATCCAATAATAAACCGGTTTAACATCATCTCCAGAATTTATTGGGTATCAAAACCCAACAGCTATGATCTGGCTCTTCCTCAAGAATATGCATTCTTATCCGTACTCGTAGTTCCATGCTGCCATGAACCCTACAGGCACCCAATAGCATTCTCCATTCGATTGCATTGTATTCCTTTCCATTGTCATACTAATTATCAATTGATAAGCCACCGTGACTATTCCACCTCTACCGAGACTATCCAGCATGCTTCCATAGTGGTCTATGTTTGGTCTGATATGGTATTCATCAATCATACTACAAGAATACCTCCTTCCCTCTTGCATTACTACCCCAAGAAAGTAACATCATTTGGCATTTCGAGCTTCTCTTATAATAATTACGAGAAGAGCTCCAATGCTTCGTGAGCATGACCATGCATGGCCAACCCTAATATCAGTGTTCCGTATTACTAAATTCCTGTCAAGCACATTACCAAACACCTTGTAGGCTTCCTCTATTGCTCCACACTTTGCATGCATATCAATCAAAGAATTTCAAATCGAAACAACCCCAGTAAAGATATCAGCATGTGAATGCACTCATTGACCAAAATCTAACCCACCCAATGAAGAACTAGCTGATAAAACGACCACCAACGTTACCTCACCGAATGCCATGCCACTTCCATGCATATTCAAGAACCATTCAAGCGCATCTTTGTAATTCCCACAATAAACATGACAATCAATGACAGTATTCCAGGCTACTAGTCCTGATTCAGGTATTCCTCTGAACAACTCCTTAGCCGTCCCAATTACCCTCAGCATACCATACATAAGAATCAAAGTATTACTCAGATGGACATGATTCTCCAGCCCATGTTTAAAAATCCTACAATGCATTTGCTTTCCTAATTTTACAGAACCCAGTTGCCTACAACTTTTCAGCAACAAAGAGAAGGTAAAATTATCTGGCACGCCACCATTTCTTGTAGCATTTAGAGGTTTCATCAACTTGGTTTATTCACACAAACCCTCTAATAATTGTGTTCCAAAGGAACCCATCTGGGTTCTCAGTTTTGACAAAAACAGTGACAGCATAATCCAGACACTGAAACTGCACAAAATCCAATGATCTTGCCTATTAAGAATAATGTTATCAGCACTAGTGGTGTTGAGGTGTATAAATTCTATTAAATAGGCCATGAATTTATGTATTTAATTGAACTTGTAATTTAATACAACAAATATTTTCATGTGGATTGATTTAGCATTACTCTTCTTCAATAATGGAAGAAGGGATTGGCCTTGGAGGTTTGGTTGTTGATTGTCATGTCTGTAAATTTTGTTAGGGGCATGATGTAATGAAGAAAAATTAGAGATTTTCAGGTCTAGGAATGGATTAGAGTCATAGTAAACTAACTAAAAAAGCTTGTACTATCAAAAATAATATGATTCATCGCACAGTCATCGTTTGGTATGACTTTTGAAAAGTTATCCGTTTGACTAATTTTATGAAAGTGCTTTATCTAATTAGAAGAGTTTTTAGAGAAAATTGGTTCATTGTGACTTCCTCTAAAACTACTTTTAAAATAAAAAATTTTTAAAAAATTAATTTTCATATAAAAATGAAAGTAACTTTTTCCAAAAGTTCTTCTACGAGAAGCAAAAGCAAAAGTCATATGAAACGTCCTTTAATAGAGTTAATTAATTTGAAGAACATCTCTTAAAAAATTTAATTTCATATATTTGCTAATGCTCAGAAACTTGTAACCGCCTCCAATTTATCATCTCTATTAGTGACCTCGTAAATCCAGACGAGGAGCAACAAATTGTTCACGAAAGAATACCGGTTGAAGATGTCATAGGAATTGTATCGTCACAAGATCATCCATCATGAATAGAAAGGCCAAGAAGATATGGATGATGACTCCCTTTATCTAATAAAGATATGCCTTCACTCGTATATTTCTCTTCTTTATCTTTCAAATCTCACCTATGCTACAACTCGTAAGGTACTCTGACGTATATAGTTCGATGCCAGGATAACTAGGAAGAAACGAGCTACTCTAGTTGGATTATTCTCTAAAGATCGTGATTATGCTATTTTTTTTGTATATTATATCATTTATTAGATAACGGAAATATTAAATTATCATTATAGAACGCAGCATGGATTTTTTAAAAATGTGAGGCGATATTAATTATTGTGGTATTTATTTTTTAGAGATGTCAGATTATACTTTTGAGGACTAAAATTAAATATATAAATAATTTCGCGCTCTGATAATTTAAAGTTTTAGAGCAGATAGTTCAATATATGTGGAGACAAAGTAGTTTGGTCCAAGTATTTTGATAATCGGAGTGAATTGAGAACTGGACCTATAACCATACGGTTTTAGGCCCTTGTTTGGTTCCCATTATTATCAAAATGCAGTTTTCTCTTTTCTTTTTAACTACATATTTTTAAATAAAATAATATTACACGTAAATCAATTTTTTTGTTATTTTTTAACTACACATTTTCCGTCAATCTACTATTCCAAAATGCATTTGACACACATTGTTTCAAAATAGATTATTTCATAACTCATTTTCAACCATATATTCTCCAATAAAATAATATTGTTCATCACATCAATAACTTTTTCTTAATTTTTAACCACATATTTCGCATGAAAATTGCTACTTGTACATCACAAGATGTACATCGGAGTGTATACCCCTTTCAAAATAGATTATTTTTTTATTAAAGTGGGTCCTACCCTCATGTGAGGGGGGTGTATACCCCGATATACATTGTGATGTACAAGTAGCAAAATCGATTTCGCATTATATTACTATTTAAAATACATTCTTTCCTCAATAATATCCATCAAACACAGAGAGATTCAAACAAACACTTAATATTAAGACCCAAAACCGGAGCAAATTGATTGGTTCAATCTGGTTCTAATATGGTCTAGTCATTTCGAGTAAAAAATGTCGGGTATCAAACCTAGATTTATTTTGGAGTCTTACCACAAATTATAGATATATACACTTTAGATGAAAAAAGAAAAAAAATAAAAAAACTCTTAACGTCCACACAATGGACTAAGTGAATTTAAATAAATAAGCTCCCGGTTGCCCTCATTTTTTTCCCATTACATTGCATTAATTTTTTCTCTCTTTATTTCAATCACATATTCATCAAATAAAATAATATTACATACAAATTTTAAACATTTTATTACTTTTCTACCACACATCCTCTCATAAATTACTATTGCAAAAATTTTCAAGACCCCAACATGGGGGTCCAAACATGGGCTAAGTATGTTCAATCTTAAACGGTTAAATATAATGTTTATTTTGCGTGTATAACAAACTTTTAGGACATGTTTGATACGCGTTATTTTCCAGGCAATTAGGAAAATATTTT